ATGACAACCGCTCGCCGGTTAATCTGCGGGTTAAAGCAAAACCGTCTCCGCCGCCGGCGCAGGAAAATTGAAAAGAGAGACGGCTGACACAGCTCGGCATTCCGGTCGCGAAATTACACTTGTCTGACTTCATTCCGAACACAATAGCAACGGAGACAGTAATGGCATGCGAGCTGATGGGCAATGTTTAAAAATCTGTTATTGAAGTAGCCATTTGCGCATGACAACCGTCAAGATTTAATGTGCCGGAGATTGAATTACAAATAGGTTTAATATAGGGGTAAAAGAGCTTCGGTGTGTACGTGTGCGCGCGTGTGTATATCGTAATATTCTTTGTTCGAGTTTTCAGCGAAAAAAAAGTACCATTTTTTTGGTACCATCAACATTGATGAACAAAAATTATTCGTCATCGCATTTTATATTATTTATATATGTATTATACATGTGCGTGATAATTCAATTAATCAGAATTAAACACACTTCGATCTATTACGTCAAATTTGCGTATTAATGACGGTTAGTGGAATTGTAAATAAAGCAATATGGCGGAAAATGTGGCAAGGGTGGTCAGTGCCGAGGGTCGCAAATATCAGTGGTATCTATAAATTTCAAACTTTGTAATGTAATTCAAACGAAATATATATATGTATACCTATGCACACATACATTTGTATAAGAGTTATTCCAATAGACAGACATCACACGTGCTATATAATTTATTATCCGTTTCTTGTTATTCGGCGTGTTTGCGCGAAATGTGTGACGTCTGCATTTGAACCATAATGGTATTAAATCGATCGAGAAAATGATGGTTGAATATAATTGAGAGTACGAGATTGTGTTTGTTCAAGGGTAAGCACCCAACTCGTTGGGTGCGAAAAACTTTCCACGAGGAATGTCTGCGACTAATGCCTATAGCTGGATTTATTCGCAGCTTTGGCCACGTAAAACAAATGGCAGCGGGGAAATACGTATATTCTACTTACTACGATAGTACAAATGTTTTCACGGTACCTCGCCACTCTTCCTTGGCACAATATACTCTTGAATTCTCCTTTATCTCGTTTCTTGTTATTTCGGTTAAAGAGGATATTTAAGTTACTTCGTTAAAAACTTTCGAATTACCTGACTGCAAATGCTTTCTGCGCAATATATATGTACGAAATGTTACCGAAATACTTGAGCAAACTTGAGAGTTTCATTACATCGAAGTGTCGGGAGGAGGTGCAAAGTAAACATTCATATTCGCGCAAAAATATATAAATTTTGTTATAATTGGATACATACATTCAACAAGTGATTCTTGCTTAATATACATATAATTCATTTACAAGCCTCATATACATATGTACATCTTTATAGCTTTTTATACAGTCGATTTACATTGCAAGTTTTACGTTACGTAAAGAAGGGAAAGGTTTCTAGTACCAAGAAATATCAATAAGTAGTTGGAATAATAAATACATTTGTTCAACATGACATATACAGATCTTTGATATTTTAAATTGATTTAAAAAAATTCTAAGCTATATAATATTTGATCGTGTTCAGTTGGACGATACACTGACATGTCTCTTTTAATATCAATAGAACGGGAATCCAAGACGGGAGTCTAGAGTCCAAATAATATACACGACAGATATTTTAATTCATCAGACTCGTCTGATATCGCCTCACGCGTTTTAATTAAAAGTTTCCGGGTTGAAAAGAAACTTTGATCGATTGCAAAAAGCGGATTACTTAATTCTGTAGAAAAACGAATATAAAAGAGGACTCATCCCCCGTCGCGTCCGACGAATCTCTTTCTCCTCTTCCGTTTACTCTTGGATAAGCACACGCTTTCCTGTTAACTGTGCTCTTCCTTTTCCCGTGTCTCTTCCGTTAGCCATCAGAAAGTTACGCTGACAGGATCCAGCCGGAATATTCGAATCAGTCTAGGAACAAAGGGAAGGAAAAATCTGCGAGAAGTTCTCGCATTATGTCACATCGGGTACGCGCGATGTCCCAAAGTCGAAATTTATCCGCGGGTTAAAACGTAAAATCGCCCAACGTAGCAGGCTCGAAACTGGCGAAATCGTATTACTCGATGAATATGCAGTGCGATTTTGCGGTCGAAAGTTTTCAGTCGGGTTGTAACTCGCCGTGCTGTTTCCGCTCGTACCGTAGGTCCTAAAACCAGCAGCCGGGATTCTCGCAGAGACGTATTCTAATTAGAACAAAAAGCGGAATATATCACGCGACTGTTCCTAAATCACATCCGTACCCGAAATCCCGTTCGGTTCCTTAATTGGTTCCTTCGCCATCCAGCTACCGGGCAAGAAATCATTTAGGATTCGGAAATTAATTAAGAATCACGTAGCGAGCGCCGATTAACTTATATTAATTGTACGATCCAACTCCTGGATTAGTCAGTTCTTTGCGAAAAGAATGCCACCGGTATTCGACTAGCTCGATTCATCTTTTCACTTCTCGAAGAGGGTGAGGGTCGAGATAATGGATGGATTTTCGATATTCGTAACAAGAGTACTTTCATTACTTGCGATGTAATTCAACAAACACTTGCCAACTCGGTAATTCGATCACTTTTACAAACACGTTACAATCACTTTAGTCGAAAACTTGTGTCTTTTTTTATTTATTTATATTCCAAACAATAATGTGGTGATGGAAAATTCAACATAATTTTACTTTACTGTAAATTAGAAGAGTGACTCTTTAATTTTTTATTATGACATAACAATTATGTAGAGTGTATTTTCTTCACTTTTTAATTACATAGAAAAATATTTATCTATGCAAATAATAACATTAAAGTGTTCATTTTGTTAAACAAGAGTGAAACTGTTTGCACTCGTCTTGTTCATATACGATTTATTATTTTTCGAAATTTAATTGGTTAAGCGAAATTAGATTTTAGGATTTGATGCATTCGAATAACGACACGTTCGAAGATAATTTGCCTCCCCGGGACATAATTCGATTTCTCTATCGTGCTAAATGTACCCTCGTTATCCAATTTCCCGATCGAGCTATCGCTTCGAATTACTATCTAATTCGTAACTAATAAAATCTATCGTCATTCATCGATGGAAAAAATAATTGAGAATTTTAAGCATTGGAAAGATTAAGACAGATTATGAACATTATTTACAAAATTGTTTATATTTTTCAACATTATACCTTTTTTTTTTTTTAGATATTTTTGTCGTTCGAAAAATATGGATTCCATTGATAAACTTGTCAATCGCGATAAACGAAAATTCCGCGCAAAAAAAAGTTTGGGTTTTCGGATAAACACGTAAAGGAAAATTTGAAAATTCTTTTACGAGAACGCGCAGCTTACGAAGACTCGTTTCATCGAGGCGCGACCAGCCGAAATTATCGAGAAAACTGGAATTTTCCGGTCAGCCATGAGACGTCGTAAAGATATAACAACACAGTACCGAGGTAGTAGGAGCTGAATAGCTTGTTCAAGGACTTCTACTTGGCAGTATGCAGCTACAGCTCCTGTCGTAACCTACCTACCTATCTACCTTCTCCTTGTTTCGTTCTCACTCTATGTCTCTCAACGTTGCCTCGGGGCTATGAGATGGTCGGTTTAAATAAGGAGACCGAGTCAGGGCAAGCAACATTTGACTTTTTGTAGAACCGAGAGCGGATATAATAATGTTCTATAATTAGACTCGCGGCGGCGGGGATCTCCTTTCTCATGAATTTTTTTCCAAAATTTCAATGCCTTATTTTTCGAGGCACAGGTAATCATTTTTCCTCTTCCTCTGATTAATTTTCAAACTTTCGCACGATTGTCACGTGTCGGTTAACCGATATACGTATACCTATCGTAGTCGTCTATTTTTACCGCGCTCAACGTTTAAAAGCGCAATTTACAAGGAAACGTATCTCTCTTGTTAAACAGCGACAAATTATCATTTTAATACGATGGAAAAAATTATACATGATTTTTATCAGTCAATAACACGTCAGTTATTGTTTTAAATCTATTTTTTAATATTTTGTATACATTTTCTTTTGAAGACACATAAGAGTAAAATTTCTATTTGTTATTCAGCATTTGCATTACACGCAATCCGACTGTGAATTTCCAAATTCAATTAACTCAAGCCTTTTATCTCTTTTTTAAATAATCTCACTTTGTGTAAAAATTATAGCAAAGCGTTTCGGAGATTCATTTACCGTTCCTCTTCGTATCTAAAGAGAGAGAGAGAGAGAAAGTATACACTCGTATATGAAACGAGAGAATACGTTTTGATGTATATCTAAAGCGAATTGAACAAAGTCGCCCTCTTGCTACAAGAGAGGATCATTATTCGTCGATGCATCTCAATTTAAAGAATAATAATACGGTATATATTATTATTTTCTCTCTGTCTGCAGTTTGCGCGAAAATAATGCGCGCATCGATGCGAAGAGCAAGAAGAGTGCGCACAGATACGTTGTTCATTATTATCGCGAGTGCATCGTCAACGGATTAAAATTCAAGTGCTCGGGCGCGGCGGTTATTCATTTATTCTCATTCCTCTAGCCGAGAGATCGCGACAATTCAACAAGATTTAACGTCGCGTTATATATTTAATTCTATCGCGTGCAGCTTACGCGATATAAATTATACCTTAAAGTCGACTTTAACGTTAAAGTTTCGGCTTTACCTTTTTCGCATTTTACAGAATTTAAATCGGCTCTAAATCTGCCGAACGGAGCGTTAACTCGTAAAATTAATGCGATTCGGGGGAATTATTAAACCGAGAGCCGTCCCTTTTTCGCGCGCGAAAGCGCGGGAGAAAAACAACCCGCGCGGGATTGATTCTCGATGCCCTCGCCCTTATTGAAAGCACGGGGATTAAGGTCCGTTAAAATTGCCTCGATTTCTCACCTAAGGGTATTAATCTTCGGCTGACCCCTAATCGGATTTTGTTGTACAAATTCGCTGCACCAAGTCGACCAAGTGAAGTAATGTTTGCTCGATCTTGCTCCTGTTTCAGAGATTGCAGTGGTCCAGCACCGAGGCGCACCGCCAGCTTTGTTATTTGAAGGGCCGCAACGACGACGAGTGCCAGAACTACGTAAGAGTTTTCGGCAGGCAGGGCCCCGATCGCTTTCTCGTTTGCGGCACGAATGCCTACAAGCCGCTCTGCAGACAGTTCACGATCAAGGTAAGCCGATAAGTCCCGAAGCATACTATATCTCTCGTTGCAATTGCATTTCGAAAATCTAGAGCGTAAAATTATAGCGTTCATCATTTTTCAACTACGAGGTATTCAACTTTTTTTTTTTTTTTTTTGGTTTGTGATCTAGTCACCGTCGATAGAAATATACCGACTACGGTATTATTGAAAATTACACGTGCTTGAAACGGAATTAGAAAAATTTTTATTAATTTTTTAACTTTTGAACTCTCATTCTCAGAAATAATGATTCGGGTAAAAAATATGTGATTTTATATTATTTTACGTACAGTTATTGCATTCTGGATTATATTATATCGATAAAAGATCGCAGAATATTTCAATATTATATAGTATGTTTATCACATTAATATGTGAGTGTAATTTTTAAATGAAGTTACATATGAAAATAAAATGGTCAGAGAGTTAAACTCTTTACATTTTTATTTACAAGTTTATATAAAACTTTTATAATTGACAGTTTATTTGTAAATAACATTGAAGTAATTTGTATTTCGATAAAAATTAAAAATAAAAGAATATCAAACGAAAAAAGGTTGAACGATCAATATATATATAATAACATTTATAAACTTATATTCTAATTTAAAATAATTCTGAGCATTTTTGTAACATAAAGGTAAATATAACGCGTAGATATAGAAAATAAAACATTAAAATATTTATTCAAACTTCCACAATTATCTTCTCACGTCGTTTGATTCACATCTCTTCAACGTATGTTTGAAGTTACGTTTTTACATATGTATATAGGAAATATAGTCTCCCTGTGTACATGATATATTTATACAATATTATTTTTGGTTAGTTATATGCAGGTTTTATTTACCGAGCTATAAAATTAAAAAAAAAATGTCCGCAAATATTTGTTCGACGCTCTCGCTTAATTGAGAGCAACAATATTTCGATCATTTTCCTTCATTCATTATAAATAAAAGAGTCGCGAGTGTCAGAATAAAAAACGTCTATGTATAGAGGAAAAATATTCGATATTTTACGCCCTTCTGAATTTACCATCTGAAATATTGACATCCAATTAAAAGTCTCTGTACTTTTCGATGCCGATACTTTTCAAGCTGTCAGTGCATCGTATCGGAAAAAGAGAAGAAAATATTTACGAAGCGCGCGCGCGTGTAACATATCGTAGAAAATGAAGCGCGAGCGAGGCTACGGCTGCTAATGCGTAAAAAGAACCGACGATTGACTTTCGACAGGTAATTTTCTCCAAGCGACTCGAAAATGTACCGGAACTTAATCGCGCGCGATTGGTAAACCACATTTAACCCTTCGTGTTTGTACAATATGTACGAGAATGAGATGCCGCAGGGTTACCGCAATGGCATCGTTATATCCGTAACGGTATTGCTAACATTTCCTGAAAGTTTCATGCAATTCCGGCGCACGGCTTTCAAATTACATAACGCTTTCATCGTGCACACGTGTCGGGCCCAAACCTTTATATCGAGTTACAAAACATTGTAAAGTGACTGTAACTAATGGCTGCCTCTGTTTCATCAAATACTTTATTTCACAATCACGGGTTAACCGCGATAAACGTTGTGAGATGTGCGAGTTGAGTAATAATCTAGATTAGTTTCGGAATATTAGTCTGAGAAGGCGTGAGGCATAGGTACCAAATATAAAAGAATGCTTTCAAAATTACTGAGAGTCGCTAACTTCAAGAGCGCACATTTGGTTTTCATTCGGGTTTAGCATAAAGCCATATTGCGCTTGAAAGGTTCAATGTAAAAAGCAGCGATTTAAAAAGAGTTTTGAAAAAATGAAGAATTTGAGAAAATTATAATTTGAAGATTGCATTTTTCTCAATTCTTTGACGAAACGCGGTAGGTCAAATTAACTCTCTTCAAACACCAAGTTATTATTCTCGTTTTTAGCTATTATTATTTCTCATTTCGTTTGACGCATACTTTTGCATAAACAGATATTCGCGATTTAAAACAAATATATATATGAGATATACATCTGCATTTCAAGAGGTCGAAGAAAAAATAATAACACGGTTGAAAAAGTTGTTAAAAGGAAAAAGAGATACTGTAAAACGGGAAAAGCTCGCTACTTTAATAATTTTCTCCCTTGTTCTCAAGTACCTCACAATTATTCGCTCTGGCAGTGATTTATAGTCTCTCTCTCTCTAAGCTTCTTTTCGTCCTAACTTTATTTTCATTCGTTCCATGCACATCTTTGATTCATTAATGGTATGAATTTGCTTTTTAGCAAAATACATAGCCTTTGTGCATTTCTTTTAATTTACAATAATATTCGTACGTACGGATATATACATGCTAGCCATTTTAAAAGTAGGAGGTTTTCTAAAATATTGCTATTGGTACAATATTATCAATGTTGAAATTTTCTTCTTAAATTTTTGTCGAAGATAGTTGCATTAAAATGTTCGATCGATTTGACCATTTTCGATCGGTTGTATATATTTATCCAAATAAATCGCGATAAAGAGAGAAGGAGAGAGATAAAGAAGCATTATACAGCCAATTGGGGGATGCTTTCGTGTTCATTCTTTTATCATCTTCGTATCTATTCGAACTTGGGAAAGGGGCGAGAGAATTTCCGCAGCTATTAGCAGCAGCTGTAGTTAGTTACGTAAACGAGATGAAAAGAAAAAGGAAGAGAGAAAAAGGAATTAACCGGGAGAGTTTTGTACAAGACCAGAGCTCTCGGTCGGATGTGTAGCGAGTAAAGTTACGGATCGAATAAGTTCTTAATGCAGCACTTTGAAGGCGACACCACACCATACATGTAGAGAGAGAGAAAGAACGCGCACGGCAAGACGTCGCGGCGCCTGGCGTCTTAATAATGGCACGTGTGTGGGGAAACGCGTCGTCATGGCGGCCAACGACGACCAACGGGATGGGTGGACAGGAGCAAAAGGAAAAAGGGAGAGAGGCACGAGAGCGTGATTTATCTGCTCGTATATCTTTTTCCTTCCTTTCTCTCTCTCTCTCTCTTCCTTTTTTCTTCCGATCTTAAACAGATGACGGGGTTGCTGCTGTCTGTGCAGCAGGTACACGCAGCTCCAGTTACTGACAAAGGCAACCCCGAGATAAGGGCGGATATGCGTTTATCCGCGCTTAAATCGCGATTATTGCGCGAGTGAATTATGCTGTTGAATATAAACGAGGATAAATTATTTGATTATTCCGAATTTATTATAACGTATACACGGATACGTGATAAATAACCAAAGTAGGTATATCTGCTTTTGATGATTGATCTCTCGGATAATGAGTGAAAGACGCAAAGTTACATGCATGAATGCACAGAGAGATGGTGATGAGATTTGAATGCTGTCGAGATCACGCGGAGTAATCAGTCGATGGAGCCAAGTTTTCGAGAAGACGTATCGACGAGTCTTCTCGGAAGTAAGTGGCATCTCTTCGGGACCTTACACCTCGCGATACCTTATCATTCAGCTTCCGGAGGGATTTATTTACCGTCGTAATCCCTTCTGATAGTCCTGATCCATGATCGAGAAGCGATGCGGGGAAAAGCTTTGCCTTCTCACGCGAGATCTGATTCGTCCGTCCACGAAAGCCGGCAATTTTACTTTCGTATTATGCGCCATTAAAAACTCATCCGCTGCAACCGCGTGCGCCGCGGTAGCGAATAAATCATACGCAAAGTAGGTCTGCTTTTCACCGGAAGTTTTCAGTAAACACGCAAGATTTGCGTCACTAGAGAGAACTTGGAAAAAAAAGAGAGAAGCCAAATAAACTTTGCCGAAATAAATTTCACCGCCGCCGCGCCGGTTCGACGATGCAAGATCGCGCTATTTACTATTGCAACGATCAATATGACGCGAGATACGTGGGGAAAAAAATTGCGCGAGACGGAGGATTTCGCAGTTTTGCAAAATTTTTCCTCACTGTATATTGCGAATCGCTATACTACATGAATACCTTTTTTTTTTTTTGCTTTATCATTTTTTTTAAATTTATTGAAGCAATTAATTTACATGCGGTGGAAATAAATAGTAATGAAATGGAATCGCAATACGTTTTTAAATTTATAGACGTATAATCAAGATTTAAAGAATTAAAAATCGCGTCTGTGTGTGATATTGTGAAGATCGAAAAGAATTAAATTATTCGCGCAAACATCTCGACGATCAAATATTTAGAAACGTTTTAAAGTTTCACAGGCGTTTTTGAAATTTCATTAAAATACGTATGTATGATATTTTTTGAACGTAATATTATCGTGCTTTTTAAGATATTTTAATATTATATGAAAAAAACAATATTATATGTTACTAATTAGGTCGTAAATTATGCGCGCTTTGGTTAAAAGATTACGTGTCGCGTAAAACTCCAACCGTAATCAATTTTTTACAGTTTCACAGGCGGACCAAAAATTAATCTCTTTATAATAATTATTATAATCGGTTGATATAACAAACTGATATTATATTTTATAATATTTTGTGAAAAATTAATACGAGACCTGTTATCTTACGTTATTATAAAAATTATATATTATTAAGATATTATATATTTTAATTATATATCATAAATTCTACATTATTCTGCACCATATATTAGAGAAGCCAGTTTTCGCGTTCTTGCAGAGCAGTTACCGTTAATTGATTTCGCACGAGTACTCAATTTGAACGTTTCACGAAATTTCTCAAGTGTCAAAATCCAATCTAAGAATAGTCGAGCCTTCGACGAAATCTTCGAACTGGTGATAAAGCAATGGGCAAAAACGAATCATCGCGTTTCCCGCCTAATTCTCACGTCCACCCACGAAAATTCAAGCCACGACTTTTATTCGAGTCACGCGGTCCGATATGGCTTCCGAATGTAAGAGTCGCCTCTTTTGGTCCATCTTCTTCTCCCGACGAGTCGCTCTTTCCGCCTCGTTTCGACCCTCACGATCCCACCTTCTCTTTTCTCTCGTCCTCTCGCAAAACTCTCTCCTTCGGTACGCCT